AGATTGTATTGTTGCAGAACAAATGTAGACAATACAAATCGAATATTATAACATTAAAGAAGTAATATAGTCTCAAGTGTTTCACAACGACTTAAATCAGACAAAAGAAGAGCTTTAAAGTGGATAAACATCGTTTGCACTTTTATTTTGATAAATGTTTCATCCGGCAACATCGCTCAATGAAATTGCAAAGAAATATGTCAAGTATAATCTAACATAACCTTAAACGAAACTACGGTGAGTTCAAGTAATATGTAAAGTAATAGTTTGCTCTTTGTCAAATTACACGTTACAAAGAAAGAAGGAACGATTCATTCTGAACTGGCCCCTGAATAAGAATATGACGCAAGTCTGTCATAAACTTGCTTCTCATTGGACGCTCACCTGCAGCCTACAAGCGACGCGCGCAGTCCAGGTAATAGGAGATCGGTCTATTACCTATATAAAACGCGGCGGTAGGTAAATTGCAGTGTTGAAAAATTTGAAAAAAACATCCCTATCATGAAGCGAAAAGTTAGACAAAAATTTGTCATGTTTTTCAGGTTATTGGTGCCCAAATGGTGCCCACTAAAGTGCCCACGAAAAAAAAAATCAGTTTTCGACTTTAGGGGGGGCTTCTTCCACCATCTTGGATTTAGTGTAGGTACCTATACACTCCATCGATTTTAATCTGATACTCCAAAGGAATGTGAGCTGGTGGCTCCCTACGTTAGAACGCCTATGGTCACCTGACCTGACGTCACACTTGTTTTTGCCATATGCTTCACCCCCTCGCTCTTCTTGTTCACAAAAGTTAGATGACTTAGCGTCCGGTGCTGTTTTCTTGGTCATTTCAATTGACATCAATCCATTACACTTTGTTTCCAGCCCCAATTCCAGAAAACAATTTCATATTCATATAACACGTAATGTACAGACCTATCAACATAACACATAATAATATGTGATGCACATTCTGTTTTTTTATTACGCATATCCAGGGAATCTTCATAGTAAACGCTGGTGTCCACACTATTTAGATTCTTGAGAGGTGCTAGGCATATCCCACAAAATATCCATTACATGTGCATGGGATCTTCTTAGAAAAGAACTAGAACTACATGTTCAGAATGCGTATCATGAATCTTCTTTTGACATTAATAATACTTGCATTCTTAAAAATGAACTAGGAATGTAAGTATATTCAAAATGAAAATATGTGCAATGAATCTTCTAAATTTTGTTCAAAATTCTTTTTTGCTATCTCGATTATACGTAGTGAGATAGTTGTTGGGAATTTTTTTGGGAAAACATAGGTGTTCTAACCAAAGTCTAAAGCTCCATTTCGAGCTTGCTATTTTCTCGTCAGTCGTCACCGCTTTATAAGCCGTAAGCATGCCAACTCAGAGAAACAGGGCCCGGATTCCGAACCCACGATTCGATCGTATCGTCTATCCATTTTATATGGACGATACTATCGAATCGTGGGTTCGGAATCCGAGCCCAAGGTTTCAAGGATATTCACACAGTAAGAAAGATATAGATCTTTAATAGCGCGTGGCTCCCTCTCTTCGAAGTCTTACAAGGCAAAAGAAGAAAACATACCTATAATATTTTTAGAAGGTTCTAAATAGAACATTAGGTAGGTATTGTTTAATTGTGCAATTAAGATTTTTGAGTAGGTGCCTACTTAATTGTACAATATTGTGTTACATTTTACTTTTGCACACGTAAAATTACTTATTTACTCAAAATTTTTAGCTAGCACGCACATAAGCGTTGACGAATTTAATTGTTCTTTCTTCCAAAATTTTTCCGCTACTTTTTCAATGACTGTTACCGAGGCAATACAAGAAACTTTCGCGAATTTCAACCGGACAGACTTTAACTCAAACTGGACTGGCCTGCGAATTCATCTCTCAACTGACAACTCATCTGATATCTGGCAACTAACTACCACTTCTAAAACCGCGGTATTTATATTAAATCGATCCCCCCGCAAAGTATTATTAATTATCCCCCAAATCGTCAACAGGCGGTCGTTTGCCTAGCAATCCGACAATCCCATTGGCCGACCTAATTATTATTAAAAATAATGATGCAATTTCCTTGAAATTTTTATCATTCTTAGTTAAAAAATCGAATAATTATGTCGCAATATCCTAATTTATCGAGGCCAATATATTTTCTCGGTTCAAGAATGCCATAATTCATTTATAATTACTTGGCTTCGCTCTTATAAGTTCATTGATTTGGGTGATGACTCTGGGCTTGATGACGAAGCACCTAATATAATATTAAACGTTAATTTGTTCCCTTTTCAATAATTTATTGATACGGATTTGGAGATACCGGAAATTCTGTTTTTGATTATTCGACCTTTATTAAATTTTTACAGTAAAGACATTGTGATTTTTGGGTCTATTTTCTCGGAATATTACATACATACGGATGACTGCGGGACTGACCATTGACGTACTGATACAAGCCAGAATGAACTTGTGCATGCTACCAAGGCTCAGATGTCAAAAAAAGCAGTTCAAACGCAAATTTACATATAAAACCTTCAAGACGATCATATCAAGACAAGCTTCCTAGCCTCTCTCTGACTTAACTTGCGTGAGAGAACCCGGAAAGCATTGAGGAGCACTAGGAAATATTGAAGACCGCAGTAACAACTGCCTCGTCGGCTACATACAAAAAAAAAATCAAGACTGATTTGATGAGAACGACACTTAAATTCAAGACCTCATAGATAGAAAAAGAAAAACGCATAATGCATGGAAAAGAGACCCCAGTTCGTCTGTTAAAAAAATGCATTACCATCAACAAGCAAAAGCAGAAGTTCAAAGGCAAACAGGAGCATTAAAGAACAAATGGTGGGTAACAAAATCAAACAAAATGCAGCAGCTATCTCAATTCAACAGCACTAGGAACCTTTTTTCAGACTTCTAAGATGGTATACGGACCATCCGTTAAAGGATTCAATCCCTTACGATCCAGTTCTCCCAATAATTCTCGTTCAAAGGAACACTTTCAGGAACTACTTTAACAGAGAATCGCAAATTAATAATGACATCTTCAACGAAATTCTACAGACACCAATATGACAAAAACTATGAGCGAGGTTACCAGCCAGAGTGAGGAGTCTGAAAAGGCAGACAACTAAAGAACAATAAGTCAGCTATTACTGACGACACTCCTGCTGAATTCTTTAAACAAGGAGGCCTCACACTAAGTGCCAAAATACACATCCTAATAAGTAAAATATGGATTACTGAGACCATACCTGCGGAACTTAGAGATGCCTCCATGGTTGCCATTTTCAAAAAGGGAGACAAGACTCGATGTAGAAATTACAGAGGAATATCTTTCTGCTGCGGGAAAGATACTTGCCAGGATATTATTAAATCGTCTATCTCAACAACTGCCAAACAGAACCTTCCAAAGGCACAATGTGGTTTTAGATCTAACCGAGGTACAACTGAGATGATTTTCAATGCAAGAGAAATCCAGAGAACAAACTCGCTCTCTATATTGTCCGTCGATTTTAATCTAATACTCGGACGGAATGTGAGCTGGTGGCTCCCTACATTAGAACGCCAATGGTTACCTGACGTCACACTCTTTTTGTCATATGAAACACCCCCTCGCTCCTCATACGAAAAGTGTCAGTTAAAAATCGACGAACAATAGGTACATGGCCTTCATAGATTTAGTGAAAACATTTGAATCGGTCAACAGAGAGAAGCTCTTTGGAATATATTGGCAAAGGTTGGGTGTCCGCAAAAGTACATCAAGATAATCCACCTATTGCATGATAATATGAGTGCAACAGTCCTAAGCAACGATTGACAAAAAGTGTCTTTTCAAATAACTAGAGGCGTCAAACAGGACTCTGTTATTACACCCACATTATTTTATCTATCTATAGGATCCGTACTTCACCTGGTCAAGGGTCACCCTTCAGGAGTAGAAATCCTGTACAGACTTGATGACGGCTTTTTCAACCTAAACAGATTACGAGCCAAGACGAAAATATCGACGACATCGATAATTGAACTTCAATATGCGGATGATAACGTCGTGATGGCCAATACAGAGGAAGGCAATTATCAATGCATTCAACTAGGCATACAGGAGAATGGGCCTATAGGTCAACTTTAACAAAACGCAGATTCTACACCAACCCGCACTGGATACTAATCCCTATGCCCCAAATACTTATAACTATCAATAACCATTTTTTGCGCAGAACGTAGAACACTATACCCATATCTTGGGAGCCATCTATCAGGGAATGCAACCACTGACGCTCAAATCGAACATCTCTTGAAGTGTGCTAACGCGACGTTCGGGCATCTTCAACAATCAGGACATCGGCACTGAGACCAAATTTTGCATTTACAATGCATCAGTTGTCATACCAACATATGGTTGCGAAACATGGACCACCTACAGAAGACACATGAAACGCCCAGAAAAATATCTCCAGCGCTGCCTAAGAAGAATCCTACGAATTGAATGGCAGGACCGACGAACGAACATTAGTGTTTTAGAGGAGCATGGGGGGTGCAAAGTTATCTAGAAAAAATTTAGTTTGGCTGCAAACGCTCTACTCTGATGTGTGCGATTAATTGAATTCCAAAGGTGCTATCAAGTAGCCCCGGTTTGCGGTATTAAAAATTAAACTCACTCCAATTTTGAGAGGATTGCTTCAATTATTTTATTTCTAACAAGGAGAACAACGTATTTTAAATTTATAGATTCCTATAACTGATAGGTATATAGTGCGGTATTCATAGCGTGAGCATATAGAGTAGGGTAGTAGTGATCCAAAGCAAATTATTACCAAGATTTATGTTGTGATTACAGATGTAGTAGGTAGGTAATAGGTATTGTGTTTCCACACAAGGTTAGAAGGCTGTTGGAATTTCTTATCATCATCATAGGCGATCACTCGATACCGAGTATGATTATCTTCTATTCTATTCAGAATAGGAAAAGAATAAAATAATATTTTCTTTAAACCATGATAATACATATAAACGATTCAACAAAATAACTTTTTATTTTTCAATCAATTAACAAATATATACATGAGAAAAAACAATATGTGCTTCCAATGTTTCTAACAAAATAACAAAAATTTAAGCTGAAGGTTTCCAGTTTGGATTGGCATGGATCAAAATCTTGATGGGATTGCCCTCTTGGGTTTTTGCAACCTGGAAAGCCTTCTCTGTCTCTTCGAGTTTATAATGATGAGTGATCAATGGTTTCACACTAATTTTGCCTGATGCAACCATGTCGATAGCAGTCGGGTAGCTTGAAAATAAAACACATTGAAACAAATGTATAGGCTAGTAACATAAAAGTAAACTTACTCATTGTTGTATCTAAAGACTCCTCTAATATCAACTTCGCGGATAATGGCACTGGAAAGTGGCAAGGTTTGTTCAAATTTACCCATTCCTACCAAAACTACAATTCCTTTGCTTTTTGTTACCTGTAAGAATTAATTTATGATTTACGCATAGAACAAATAGGTACACAAACAAAAGCTACCTTGAGTGCAATTCTAACACATAATTCAGCGCCAGAACAATCGAACGTTTTATTTGGTTCTGTTCCCAAAAGTTCTTTAATCTTTGCAACAATATCATCTTCCTTGTCGCTAGGTTCAATTTTAACAGTGTAATGAGCTCCCAGCTCTTTGGCCTTTTGAAGTTTAACACTCAAAATATCTGTGATGATAATTTTCGAAGCACCCATAGCCTTGGCGGACAACAAAGTTACTAAACCAATGGGTCCTGCGCCTAGAATGAGAACAACATCTCCAACTGTGACGTATCCTCTTTTGGTTGCATGAACACCTACTGAAAGTGGTTCCATGAGGGCTCCGTCTTCAAGATCCATATTACTCGGAAGCCTAGAATTTTGACTTCAATAATGAACAAAAGAGGAAAATTTATGGTATCTTACTTGTGGCAAAAGTCAGCAGCATGAACGTAATATCTGGTAAGGTTACCATCATCTGGTGGAGTGGCGCAGAAGAAAATATCAGGACAAAGATGGTAATCTCCGCTTTTACAGTATGCGCAAATCCTGCATGGTACACCGGGTTCGATAGCTACTTTGTCGCCTGGCTTTAGGGATTTTACATTCTTACCGCATTTAACGACGGTTCCGGAAGCTTCATGACCTGGAATGAAAAAATATATATATAATTCATTGAATAGTTTTTTTTTTTTGATAAACGGGAGCTTACCGATAACCATGGGGTCTTTTACGACGAAAGGTCCAATTTGGCCGTTAACCAAATAATGTACATCGGAACCACATATTCCAACGACTTCCATTTGCAACAGAACCTCTGGAACGCAAAAAAATATTGAATAAGAATAATAACTCAGATTAACATAGTATTTGTTTTACGATAGTCATGAAACCTAATAGGTAGGTATAGTTTTGATTCTGCTATTTTCAAAGGTTGCTAGGAAATCAATGAATAACAGTCTGGATTTTTTTTTTTGACCTAGGCCAAAATAAAACATTGTGTTACCATGCAGGATATTATTACTTGAATAATTCTAAATTATAATCAAAAGTTATCATTTTTCATTGAATAAGAAAATTAAGCCACATTCCTTATCCAATCACCAATCAACATTACTCGGCTTAAAATTGCTTCAATAATGTTAGGTACTTGAGTTAGTTTAACTACAGTAAAGTAGTTTGTTTATCTCTTCTATTAACGCCAAGAGCGAAATAAAATGTCGACAAAAATATTAACAAATTTTGGTAGATAATAATTGACGCAATTCCAATAAAATTGATATCATAAATATATGTAGTATATTTTGTTATTGCAAAATTGCTTATTTTGTTCGATGATAATCAATTTTTTTTTAAAGTGCTGTACGATCAGTATAATTTCTCTGTTCTGTTCTTATTATTAGATAGGTAGGTACTAAATTATACCTATATGGTAGGTATTTACATTATTTAAATAATTTTTATAGGTAGGTATACTGATAGGAACTGTTTTAAATGATAAGAAGTATTAACTAAATGCTCATTATTTATTATAGTAACAATAATTTTGACAAAAATATTATTTTTCTATTTGTATCCACCTCAAAGTATAGTTATAGCATTACCACTAAATCTTCTTCGAATTTGTTGAAGATGAAATAAAATCTTATCTATACTTTATCTATGCTATTTTGTTTATATTTTACTGACTCCACTAATTCTAGCTAATGCCTACATTTTTTATACCGAACCTACTTTGCAGGCAATCTAATAATATGTATTTAAAAAATACTTACGGTCATCTTTGGGCACAGGGATTGGTCTTTGTTCCTGTAAAATACATTATAAATAATCAAAATTGATAAAAAAAAAGTATAAAAAAGTTTTATCTACAACCGTGCGGTACCACCTAAATTATTCTCATCACTGTTAAAGGTGCGACAGACAGCCAGAGAATAAGCTGTGGTCAGAGACGCAATTTTATCTTCTAAATTTTTTTATTAACGAATTCATAATCAAGTCATTGAGCATGATGAACTTTGTAATTATATCCACACAAGAATTATGTTCTACTTCATAAAATGCTAGAAGCAAAAATGTCCAAAGCATGCTGGTCAACAAAGCATTTATTGAAAAAAATTATACAATAAGGTACCTATACCTATATACAGTAGTGAAAAATACAAATTTAACTCACAATAGACATCCTGCGCATGGAGAAAAAAGTAAACCATTATAGTAAATTTAACACAAGAAACACTTACCAGTCTAATATCGTTTATTCCATAAAGGACTGCGGTAAGATTGTCGTTAGATGCCATGCTTTCTGTTTATGTAGGAAACCAAAAACCCAAAGTAGTACTGACTGAACTGCGACGATGGAACTGTTGTTACTCCAGTGGCCGATGGGTATACGCATACGTTTCAATATCTTTCCTCCCAATCCCCCCAGATATTATTTATAAAAATTTTTGAAGGGGGGCATATCAGTGATTCAGTATATTGTTGAACACTTTATTATACTTAAGTTATCGCGGGCAGGCAGTGTTAGAGGTTAATCATTTTTTGAGATTCAATTTTTGCATAATTAAAGTGCTGCCGACAATAAATTAGGTGACAACCAGAGATGCAAGTCTAGAAATAAACAACATTATAATTTCAGATATAAAAGTTGAGAGGCAATCTTTTAATTTTACTAAGATATCACATAAAACAAAATTTTACCAATATTGTGGAAGCATTTGGTAGACAAAAATGCATTGATATTTTTCTGCAGTTATCAGAAGAGACAGTTTGAAAAAAGATACTGGTTAAAAATTAAATTTTCTTTTCAAATACACGAAATAATCCAAAAATACAAAAAAAAATACAGGGCTGCCGTTTAACTTTTAAAGCTACAACATGGCTACAACTTCCGGCCAAACCGGAATTTATCAGAATCATACACATCAAAAGATGACATTTGCCAAACCAGTCCTATTTCCAAATTGAATTAGATTGTAATAGAAATTTATTTCATACTGTATCGTAAAACACTTCGCCAACCACTACCAAGATTTTCTTTTGCAGAGCAGCACCAAAATCAAAAACTCCGTTGCTCGTCCCAATATGTTCACCAGCAAATAAAACACAAACGCAGTGGGTGTCATTGATGACGTGCAACGGATTTAGTTTTGAATCAACTATACCTCTGACTATACGTGAAATATTGAAAATCTAATAGTTCATGGCTATGGCCGGTCCTACTAGTTACCAAAGAGTTCGTCGAAGTTTTGTGTGGAATATAGAAAGCTGAATGATGTCATGGAAAAAAGATAGCTACCCATTAACTCGGATCGTGATATCCTCAACACCATACCAGCGAGCAGCGAGCTTATCAAGACCAATCGAAGACAAAACTGTCTTGACAGCGGAAAATGGCCTCTATCAGATTAACGTCGTTTAGGCTTATGCGATGAACCTGCCACACCAAATTGCGAGACTGATGGAATTATTTCTGCGAGAAGTCACTTGGGATCGCGACATGTTTAGTATTCGAAGAACTAGTCCATGGTTCTCTAAAAGACTTGAATGTTATGGAAAGGAAAGTAGAAGTAAAACTCTTAGTCAAAGTCTCAGATATAACCAGTGGTGATAACCTGGTTAGTGAACTTCGTTGACCAGTCAGAAACAACTACTCCGAGGGCAAATACCCCTACCGGCGTTGAACTACACTGATTGGTCTGAGCTTTCGTTGGCAATGAAAATTGTTAGAAATTTTTTTCAGGTAATGACCAACGTGAAATCTGGGACATAAGAGTCCCTATTTGGGAATCGACCCACTGAGTAGTGGACCCCGCATTCCAGTGCCAGTCCTTGACTCATCAGAGTCCTAACAAGGACGAAACGCTTCAAGGACTGGCATGGGAATGCGGGGTTCACTACTCAGTGGGTCGATTCCCAAACAGGGACTCTTATGTCCCTGATTTCACGTTGGTCATTACCTGAAAAAACTTTCTAACAACCTGGTTAGTGTTTCGTCGTACTGCATCATCGGACCTAAACGCGTCAAAACTAAAAAGGAGCAATGTGCCCAAGCAGAGTGTAAAAATGACTAAACATCACATTTATAGTATAATATACATAATTGTGGTAACTATGTAGGTTATTACCGCACGCGAGAGAAATTTGCAAACCGAGCCAATGAGGCGAGGTTTGCAATCTCTAAGGGCGGTGATAAGCTAATTACCATACCTATTAGGTATACATATATACAGTAGGTATTTCATTTACAAGCGTGCGATAACAAAATATCAAAAAGCAGCTTGAAAAATTATAGAAAATAAAATTTCCGCACGCTATTACAGCATGCCATGTGGTAATATGGTACTTACCGCACGCTTGTAGATAATAGTTATTTACCTAACAAATGCGGAAAGTAATACTTTACCTCACGCAACGGCAGTTGACCAAGCGGAGTTCGGTCAAGCCGTTAAGGGCGGTAAAGGCACCTTCCGCATGTGTTAGATACAAAATTTCACCTATGAATCAGATTAATGATTAATTAATGAAATTAGATTAGTTTTAGAAATGATCAAAAATTCATTTTCTGAAAAAGCAAGGATTTTTAGACATATAAATACCAAAGTCTACTTTACCTACCGCATACTATGCGGTATAGTTAACTTTACCATACACTTCGCAGTCCACTTTACCGCATACTATGCGGTAAAGTGCTACTTTCCATTTGCAATTACGTGCGGTAAAGTACACTTTACCGCACGCTCGTAGGTTAAAATATAAAACAAACACTGGCTCATATGAATAAAACAGAAGCAAATGCTTTTGCTTAAGTTCTTTGAAATTAACGTACATATTCAGCTTTCATGCAGCAAAAAGAGACGGAGATAGAGTAGAAGCATTTGCTATACTTTATTCATACGACTGACTCTGTTTGTGGAAGTTTTGGAAATGTCACTTACTCAAAAAGTGGCGCAATTGTGAGATAAGGTCAAAATAAAGTCGTACAGCTGTAGGCAACATCCTATTTTAACTTAAAAGGGCTTTTAAAAATTGGTCACTATTAAAAATGAGTATTCTAAACCATACAAATTTCTAAAGGTACCAGTTTTAAAAAGCGCTTTTAAGTTAAAAGAGGATGTTGCATACAGCTGTTAGGATCTAAGAAGACTGTGATTCCTATATATGCTTACATCAATTTTTTTTTTTTTTAATTTGGGGCAAAGATGATAAAATAAACAAAGTAGGTACCAGGTATAATATAAGGTATATCCTATTCACAATCCGATGTCGACAGGTACAGGTTAATTTATCACCTTTCCCTATCAAATAGCATTGAAAGGTGATAAATTTCACCTGTACCTGTGGACATCGGATTGTGAATGGATAATATAAACTACATATTACTTAATAAAACCGGTTTTTCGAAAGACTACACACTTTCGTAGATACAAATAATTTTAAGAAAGTTGACCAGTTAATCCAGCGTATTAACTCACGTGCCTGGACTCACCACCTGATATATTTTATCCAACGCTTTCATATAATCGCGTTTTGTGTTATCATTCATGACCCCTATTATAATTTTTTTTTTGGTTCAATTTTAAGGCACAAGCATACAGACAGATAAGATATCTATCCGCTTGTGCGGTAACTGGAATATACATAGATATAGACATCAAGGTATTTCATTCTATAGGCATACTATAGAAACTTTGCTTATAGGTATACTCAGTCACAACAAACACGTTGTTTGTTGTTTGACATATAGGTACTCAGTGTTACTCAGAGCAGTTCGGTACTTTTACAGTGAAGTGAAATAGCAAGAAATTAGTTTGTACAGAGTGGAAATAAGTGACTTATGGAAAACTCAAAAATTACCTACATCAACAGATATAATGGCTGGAATCTTAGTGCCTGTTCGATTCGAGATAATACTCTTCAATTTTTTAGCTTCCTAGATAGGAAGCTATGGTGATAGCCCGATTTTGACCATGTCAAAATTTCATTAGATCTTGACGTTTTGGATCATTTTAAGCCTTTTTGGCAAGGTGGCACATTTCCGTCTGTGTGTATGTATATATGTATGTATGTATGTATGTGTGTTGGCATTTTTCTGAGAAAACGGCTCGATGGAATTTGATGAACTTTTGGAAATAGGTATAAAAAGACGTGTAGGAAAAGTTACACAGAGATATTGGGGAAAAAAAAATCCTCTCCAAGATATGACGTTATTGATCTTTTTTTTAAATGGGAACGCCATCTTTTTTTTCATTGATTGGTTAGAGCTCATTTTGCTTCATATAATACAAAAAAAAAAAAAAATTTAAAATTAAAAAAAAAACAAAAAAAAAAACAAAAATCCCAATAGGTTTCATTGGGACAGTTTCTAAATTGAAAAATTGAAAAAAAATGATATTAAAACCTGAAAAATATCAAGATTTATTAAAATGAATTCATATGGTTTGAAATGACATTTAATGACAATGACAATCATTAATTAGATAGTTATTTGTCTAGGAAGCGTTATGTCAAAAATTTGACATCTGGTTTTTCTTTTCAAATAAAGAACTATTTGTGGTAAATAAAAAGGTCTGGCTGTTATCTACGAAAGTGGGAATGGGCCCTTATAATAACTTCCACGAAAAACTTGTAGGTATGTGGTCTTATCCACTTATTTCTACCACCCATCCCCATTCCGAGCCAATATTTAAATTAAAAAAAAAAAAAAACTGCAAGAATTTCTGGAAAATATCAATGGAACATTATTATGGTTCCATGTAAATTTTTTTTTCTCCAGTTTTATTAATAGAACACTATTACATATTGTTTAAGACTATTTAATGAAGTTATCTCTACTAATCCCACTTTGTCTCTTATCTGACAAAGGATTATTGCTGTTATTCGCGTTTGAAAAAATAGAATTATATAATGCTTAGATACAAACACTTTTCCTGAGCAAAAATAAATTTTATCTCATCGCAATTCGCCCCACGCAATTTATAGTCAGTCCTCAACTAGATAAATATTTGCTCTGATAATAAGATACAGGTAGCGGGTGACCACGAGATTACTTACCAACCTCTATAGGCATGAAAATCGATTTAAAATTTGGGAATGTTTCAGCATAGAATCAATTGACTGTCGCTTTTGGCCAGAAGTGCAATAAACTTCTTTATTTCAAATACCTAACTCACCCGTTAAATTAGGTACCTATTATATTTTTGTATACTTATACGAGAAATTCGAAGCATATTTTATGTAGGTATTTAGGCTATAAAGGGAAATTGCTCTAAGAAAAATATATTTAAAAATTATTCAAATGTCAGGGTGTCCGAATTTGGATGGTTTTAATAGGAAACGTCAATTTCTGAGCAAGATACAAAAAAATGAACCCCCCACTCCGAGGCTCAAGTTTCTTGAAATTTTAATTGGTGCAAACCGCATTTTGATATCTTCAACCGTTTAGCCGCTAGAGAGCGATTCTCGATT